TATATATATATATATATATATGGTTTAATCTATAAATTAAATATATTGTTGTTTCTGAACTCATCGTTCGAGGAACGTGTAAATTTCTTTTGCGATTATTTCTGATACTCGTGAGATATCGGATAATCGATCACAACGAAAGTTAAATGCATTTCGCGAAAGATAAGTAAGTAAATATTCTCTTATTCGTTTCGGTTTTGAATTTTATTAATTATTAAAAGATGGAAAGTGACTCGCATTTTATCTTATCGTATAGGATAAAATATATAGGGTTATTATAACGGGTTATCGAACATTCGTACGCGTGTGATGCCGCTATATCCGAATATGCTTCGGGCATAAAGATATAATTCTCGTGTCACTATTAATTACGTCACGTACGCTTTTTTTTCCGGATAATTCATCGAATCTGTCCTTTTCTTTTTTTGTTTCAGGCAGTGAGTAACAATTTAGAACCGGAGAAACGGTAAGTAGATTAGCGATTATATTGGCTCATGGATTTCATTAACGGATTTTATTTACGAAAAACATCACGAAGTTCGAGAAATTCGAATTTATACGGTCACTCTGTTTCATCTTGGTCGCGATATAAATCTGTCGAAGCACGCGAGGTGTTCGTTAATGGCTTTTAAATCGATTTTTTTAACGTTTCCTTTTTCTTTCTTTCTTTCTTTTTTTTCTTTTTTTTTTTTTTTTCGAAACTAGGGATTCGAGATAGTTGTTTATTTATGAGAAATAAACTCGTTCGTATTATCGTCCCGAGGGAACATCTGGTGCGAGCCTTTCGAGAATTTGATATATCGAAAGGAATGGTAAAACTATTTGGGCCGACACCCCCGTTTAATTCCGGGCCCCTTTTGCCTCGGACCCCAGATTCTTTTTTCCCCTAATATATCATCGAGTCGTCCAGGTCGCGCCTTTGAAAAAAAGATTCTTCGCTAACGCGGAGCATCGCGACAGTCGGCGGATTCGTTATATTCTCTCCCTCCCCTCCCTCCCTCCTTTCCAAATGCCGAATGAAGTCGTCTTTCCGCGATACTAATCGAGTATTTATTACGAGTGACCGATAAATTCGAAATTCATCCATTCCGTTCCACGCTCGTCACCTTCTAACTCGATTTCGCGTATCGTTACAGGTTTACAACTTCGGTACTGCTTCAAGCGTTTCCACGTTTAAAGTGTATTATCGATTTGACAAATACGAGTCGCTACTATGACGAAAAGGTAAGATAAGATATTTGCAAAGTTATTAAAAAAAAAAAAAAAGAAAAAAGAATGGAAAAAGTCGAGAGATATCTCATCTTCTTTTTGCTTGCTCGCGAACGATCCCTAACTGCATTCCTTGATCGAGCAGATATTCGAGAACGTGGCTCCTTTACACGATCCTCGCGTATCTTTCTTAATCTATCATCTCTCTCTCTCTCTCTCTCTCTCTCTTTCTCTCGTTCGTTCGTTTCCCTTCTCTTTCACGAAAGCCCTATATTACGTTTGTGTCGGTTTAGACTTTATTTGGCATTTAAAATTAGTCGAGTCCGTCCAATTTGTAATAGCATAGGGAAAAAAAAAGGAAGGGACGACGATGAAGACTAATGAACTTTTTATTAGATTTTTGGAATAATTGATTGCTCGATCTTGGTGATCTTCGATGTCTTATGTACGAACGATCCAAAACTGATCAATTTATATCGATAAGTCGAAGATTTTATTCGATTTTATTCTTTATCTTTTTTTTTTTTTTTTTTTTTTTTCTTTGTCTCCTCCATGTCACAGCAATTTGCTACGCGAAGAGGACTAACTAAGATCTCGGATAGGAAATATTTGAGAAATACTAGAACGGTTTTGAAGATCAATGGTGCCGCAGGTTATATATGTAATTAACACGAAGATCTTTCGGTGTCTCCCTCGCCTAATTAGAGCGTATTATACATAATTGGTATCCTTAGTGGAACCCTTCATTCTTTTTGGAACCCTCTAGTTTCGTTTCAAGAAAAAACAATTAACTACTTTCCAATATTATTTTGTTACAGGAATTCATAAATTCTGGTGTTAAATATGAAAAAATTATGGTTCGTGGGCGGGAAGTTCCCTCCATGGATGTAGTAAACAGGTAAGTGTTTTCAAATTTTTCTTCGAGTGTATATCTTATATGTTTGGTTACTTATTTATGTAAATTAACGATGTTTCTTTGTACGAATTATACGATTTTTTATTAATAAAATTGCAAGGATTATTAATCGTTTTTTTAAAAAATGATGCCAAGGATATTTAAGAAATTTCGCACAAATTTTAAAACACATTTATATGTAAAAAAAAAGAAAGAAAAAAAAAAGAAACTTGAAATCGTGTAACTAACCGTAACGTCGTAAGCTATCGCCACGACTTCGTCCTCAAATTCCTTCTCTCGCAGTAGGTCAGAGAACGAACTCCGGAACTATGGAGTTTTTCAACTTTTTTCGATCGTTTGTTCGAACCGTGCAAAACGTCCGACTCAATTTGTATAATTCGAGGATAAAATGGTGATTCTCATCGTTCGTTAATAGCTAAGAAGAATGCGAATAGCCCACGTGATCGCCTCTTGGAAACTTAATTTTTTTTTTTTCTTCTTCTTCTTCGTTTCTTCAATCGAGATTTGTCCACTTTTTACTTTAATTGTTGTATGGATGCTTTGTATTCAATTCGTGTCGCGAATTAAACAGCCAATCGTAACAAATTGTATAGATATTACAAATAAAGATGTTACTTGATATTCCAAACGTTTCCAACGAATTACGAATAGGGATTTCGAGTTATGGAAAAGATTTTTTTTATCATAATATTTTTTTATTTTTCAACACTTAAAACGAAAGGAACAACAAGGAAATATCGTTCGTCTCCTTCGATCACCTATTTAAAATTGGTCAAGTTGGTTTAATTTATCTATACATTAGTAGAATTTAATTCAAAGATTGATATCGTGATTATTGTAACGAGATATACCTAACAAATATCGAGTTGCACGGTATTCACTGCCATGTTGACAATACACACGCGGACTCGGGTTCCTTAAACGCGTTCGAATCGTGTTCCGCGAGGATTCGAGACAAGTCCGCTACAATGCACACGCGTCGTACGACAATACGCGTGGGTGTTGACGCTTCGGCAACGACGTCTTTATTTGTCGAGACATCGAACACACGTGTTCTCTGCCTTGTATTGCGAGACAATGCTCATATATTCTACGGATACGGAGAAATACTTGAATACCGCGTATGGAAAGAGATCGGACTTTCGATAAATCGTGATCAACTTTCCATTTCAAGTTATTATAACAATTTCGGTTGGAAAGGTAAATTAGTCGAAGAGATGGAAAAAAAAAACCAAACGTACGATTTTTATTGTATTTAATTTTTATTCAAATCGTCTTTTTAACTCCGTTGTATCCAATTACAATATGTTTACTTGAAAGCTTTTCTTAGAGTTCCACTAAAAATTTGGACAATTGGTATTTCGTTGGCCGAAATTATTCTCTCTTTCTCTTTTTTCTTTTTTTTTTTTTTTTACGTTATCGATTACGAGATCGATTATCAAAATGGTTTTTTTCTCAAAAGATCTCTCGCGATCTCGCGTTGGAGACGCGAGATCGGACGAAGCGAGATATTCAAATATTTTGACACGCGCCCTGTCCGTCGTACGAGAAAAGAAACGTTGCGATTGTGTTGGCACAGAGATGGAGAAGAAAGCGTTTTAGGAAGCGATTGTGGGTGGTAAAAGATGTTTTACGTTCTCTCATATGCATAATACGGACGTGTGCGTGTCGCTTGATACTTCCGGTTAATTCGACCCATGGACCCAACAGACGTTGCCGGGTGTCCTTCTCCAAATTCTCTTTGCCTTTCTTTGTTTTCTCCATCCTCGGGAGGATTGGCAAAATGAAGAGAAACGTGTCTCGCCACGCTTCGGACCACCCGGATGGATCGTTTAATTACGTAAATTCCGTCTTCCTTGCCTTCGCTTTTCATTTTTTTTAGTATCGCGCGTGTTGCAATCACTGTTTCGTAAAAAAAAAAATATATATATATATTAGCTGTGTGCGATAAACGGTAAGTCTCGCGTTTCGTTTAAAATATTGAACCAAATTTTAAATATCAATTTTGACAACGTTTCCCGATATCGAGGAATATAATCTTGATAAGTGATAAGCAACAACGTAAAGAATATTTGCAATATATTTTTTTACACATCAATCTTCACTTGTTGAAGAAACACATTTTTCACTAAATATATTATGTTTATCATTCGGACGATTACGAACATTTATGAATCAAATCATTATCTTTATCAATTTTTATTTTTTTTTTTATTTCTTTTTTTTTATTATTATTATTTTTTTTAAAATCTACGATTTATTTCATTCAGATATTTTATATCGAGAAACGAAAGCTGCAAAAATTTGATTCGTGAGTATAAAAGTCCTCTTCGACGTTAGGAATTATAAAAATAATGCATTTTACATATTTTATATATAAATGTTCATGTTCATGTTCACGATGGTATAATTAAAATTTAGTTTTGCTGGGAATTCCACCTCATCATCGTTGCGC